TCATCTGGTCTACCCATGTGCTTTTCTTGGCACAATACAGGAGTGGTTTGCCATTGTCTTCTCCCACGCAGTATGAAATGATGTCTTTGCTGCTGTCATTAAAACAATCATCTCTCCCCAGCATCTTCCTACATTGCTGCTGCCCAATATAGGTACCTGCTTGCTTTAGCTGGGCAGTTGGGATGACCTTCACCCCTGCTGGGAATATGTACACTTGGCATACACTCCTGGCATTCTTTACAGGTAGTTCCTGCTTAACAGCCACAATTAGGACTGGCAGCCCCATCACTAAGCGATGCAGTTGTTAAGTGAAACATCACATGACTGTACCGGATTTATGATATCACTTCCACTGTGGTGGTGAAGTGAATCACTGCAGGTCATTAAACAAGACATCACGTGACCGTGACTTGTGATTTTACTGCTGGCTTCTCCATTGACTCTGCTTGTCATAAGCTGGTTGTGAAGCATGCAAATGGTGATGACGTGACTGTGGGACACTGCAACAGTTGTAAATGTGAGGACTGGTTGTAAAATTACTTTTTCAGTGCCATTGTAACCTCGAACAGTTGCTAAGTGGGGCAGTCATTAAGCAAGATTACCTGTGCTCATCCCTTCCAAGAACACCCCACCATCACCATGATGAGGCAGGTTTGAGTGCCAGGAGCTGAGGGAGATGACATCTTTAAAAATGCCAGCAGCTGAGCCTTTAAAAAGGACACAAAACCAGCTGAACTCACTTTCTAGTCACATTCAGAAATGTTCAATTTAACTACTTTATGGATATTAGAGATCTTCAAAACAGCAAGCTTGATTTGACACCTGGTGAGTTTTACCCTTTGGATTTAAGAAATTTTAAACAGAGACTTAAGAATTTAAAATAATATACAATTGGCAAAAAGGAAAAAAAAAAGGATTTTAAGAAAGTTTTAAACATACTGGGAGACCAGAGAGATTTGGAATATTGGTTATTTTTGCTGTAAGAGTTGAAAAACAAGTATATAATTAAATGATATACTTGTGGGAAACAACTGAAATGGAACTAAATCCATATTAGGAACTGAGGCATAATGAAGGTTGCAAATGGACACTAGATGGAACTAAAGGACCAGGCAGAAAAGAGTTAAAATGGCTAAGTATGCTATAACTTTTTCTTATCTTAAAGAGTTATTTGAAAACTGGACTGATATATTAATAACTAATACGTTAAGATACAGATTTCAATGGATAAACTTTTAGAAGATGATGAGAAAAACTTTTAAAAACTTTTACCTGACATAGACATAGAGCTTGATGGCATGGAAGACAACAAAATTGAGATTACCAAAATGGGAATACAAAAGACAAATCAAGAAAACTGCTGTACGAATTAAAAAAAACTAAGAAGGAAACAAAAAGACCAGAACACATCCCCTCCAGCAGCCAACACCCAGATAAACAGATGATGAGAAAAACTTTTAAAAACTTTTACCTGACATAGACATAGAGCTTGATGGCATGGAAGACAACAAAATTGAGATTACCAAAATGGGAATACAAAAGACAAATCAAGAAA